CTGGAAACCACCAGCCAATAGGAGCTGAGAGATTGACCTGGGGGATGGGGGCAGTGCAAGCCTCTTCCCCCTCCTGGAGCTGAGGGAACAGCCTGCAGTTTTCAGTGGCCGGGGACTGCAGCAGGCGGGGAGCCCAGCTTGCTTTGGGAAAATTGCAGGCCAGGTAAGTGCTTCCCAGCCAAAGCCTACCTCTGGTACCCCTGCCCCTCCAGCACCCCAACTCTCTCCCCCAGGTCACCATCCAAACCCTCTGCATCCCTCTGCCCCAGGTCACAACTCCTTCGCAGACCCTGTACCTCCTCCTACATGCCTCCCCCAGGCCAGAATCCTCTCCTGCACCCAAACACCCTCCCTGCCTCTGCCCCCCATTCCTCTGCCCCAGCTGACAACCCCCTCCTTCACCCAAACTCCCTCTCAGACCTCACACCCTCTCCTGTACCCCATGCTCCCTTCTGCACCCAACCTCCATCCTAGACCCTGATCTCCTCCACAGAAAAGTGTGGCCCTTGACCACCTTCCAAAATCTTGGCGTGCCCCCCCACCAAAAATTATTGCCCAGCCCAAGCTAAACAAATGCACACAGGGAGAGAGCAGTTTCTGTTAGAACTAGTACATTAGGTGAGATGTGAATAAAGCCTAGGAAAAAACTGTAACTGTCCTGGGGTCCAATCTCGCTATCTTTGAAGTCAATGGTGCATCCCAGTGAGGTGAATTGGGGTGAGATTGAACTCTCGATCCTTAAAGTGACCCGCCAAAAAACCCAGCTCCCAATAGCCACCTTTTTAACAGCTTTATAATGGATGATGAAGCTGTGATAGGTGTTGATTTTTTAAACATTTATTGGCTTACTCCCCCCAGGAGAAATTCGGGTTCTGTGCAGGCTGGCAGGCTCCATGGGGACCAGTGAGTAGGGAACTCAAGAATCAAGGCAGTAGACGTGGAGCAAACTGGAGAAGGAAAAGGGTTTTTAATAAAACCATTTTAAGCTGTTAGCTTTAACACTTGTGTGACTCAGGTGTTTGTCACTGTGGCGAACAGAGGGCACAGCAATCCCTTGCCTGGTTCAAACCATGGGAAGGAAGTGGGCTGCAGGTGAGCCGCTCCACCCCATAAGATTGTGGTAGGTGCTCTCTGGTATTCCCAAAGGCAATGCCGCTCTTAAAGGCTCAGTGACTTCTGAAGAAAATATGCTCAGTGTAAGAAGCCAAGAGGTTTTGTCCAACTGCCAGAGATCGCAGAGTCTTTCGTTCCCCTGCCTCATCGCTTGGAAAGGCTCTGCCACCCGACTCGAGGCGAAATCTGCACAATTCTCATTGCCGTCAGAGTTGCTGTGGTGCAGGAGGTGGTGCTATAGCAGCTGCACAGCTAACAGACGTGAACTGGATGAGAATTGAGTTCAGTGTCCCAAAGTTAAGGGCCTCTTAGTTTTAATGGGAGTAAAAAGTAGCAAAACTCGATTTTAGCCCCTAAAGTGAGTCAGCTGGACAGCAAACCTGCCCAAGGGCAAATCTTCAGGGTGAAACAGAGCCTTTGTAGTGAGATATTTCAGGGCAGAACCACACTTCACACACAGTCAAAAGAATTCAAGTGTGTTTCCATAAAAACAAGGAAAAAACACTTGGCACCTTCCAAAGACTAGAGCAAGAAACTGTGCATAGGTAGGGACTGAGGGAGAGACTCCACGTAGCGATACAAAGGGGAAAAATCTGGGCAGGAGGCAGCTTACGTGCAGGGATGGACAGCGGGAGGAGAGGCTGTAGCCGGCAGGAGAAACGAGTTGAGAAGAATCTGGCACAAAGGAGGGAGGCTTCACTGGCAGGAGTGACGGGCCTTAGGAAAGGGCATTCTGGGAAACAGTAAGTGGCTGAGAAGAAACCAAAGAGCACAGAGGAAAGGACTATGCCAAAGAGTGAAAAACCTGACAATGACTGGAAAGAAAAGGAAGGGTGTGAACGGAGCAGGAAGGTGGGGGAATCTGTCATCATCTTTGTGGCAAATCCCAGAAGGATGTTGTCTCCCTTCCGGCTAGACCAGTTGTAGACCATCCCTGATAGATGTTGTCTCCCTTCCGGCTGAGCATCAACCAGTTCACTCTCTGAATAGGCCCTTGAGGTATTCGGGCTGGAGGTTCAGTCTGTGTCTATTGTTGTCAGTCTCACAACGCCATTAAAACTGTTGGTGGCCACAGAATCACCACCCACATATACAGCCTTCCTTGGCAAACATGATGCATCATTCATTTGTCGTCCATCCTAATAACATGTCCACACCAAGAAAGCCACGTGTCCAACCCCACTGAAGTAACTGGAGGCAACATTTGGCCAAGTCCAGGTAGGGCCAAATTTGCCTCCAAATGTGCATAGAATCATAGAACACTAGAACTGGAAGGGACCTTGAGAGGTAATCGAGTCCGATCCCCTGCCCTCACGGCAGGACCAAGCACTGTCTAGAATCATCCCTGATGTCTATCCAACCTGCTCTTAAATATCTCCAGTGATGGAGATTCCACAACCTTCCTTGGCAATTCAGTCCAGTGTTTATCCACCCTGACAGGAAGTTTTTCCTAATGTTCATCCTAAACCTCCCTTGCTGCAACTTAAGTCCAATGCTTCTTGTGCTATCCTCAGAGGCCAAAGAGAACAATTCTTCCTCCCTCCTCCGTGTAACACCCTTTTAGATACTTGAAAACTTCAGTCTTCTCTTTTTTAAACTAAAAAAGCTTAATTCTTTCAATCTTCCCTCATAGGTCATGTTCTCTAGACCTTTAATCATTTTTGTTGCTCTTCTCCAATTTCTCCACATCTTTCTTGAAATGTGGTGCCCAGAACTGGACACAATACGTCAATTGAGGCCTAATCAGAGCAGAGTAGAGCAGAAGAATGACTTCCCGTGTCTTACAACACTCCTGTTAATGCCTCCCAGGATCATGTTTGCCTTTTTTGCATCACACTGTTGATTCATATTTAGCTTGTGGTCCACTATGACCCCTCCTCCCCCCCGATTCCCTTCTGCAGTACATTTGCCACCAACATGCAAGAATCCTTTTGCAAGTTTAATTGGCCACTTTTGTCTGAGCAGCAGAGAAGCTCTGAGCCATTTTGGCTTCAAGGACAACTGAGCAGGTTGTCACGGGTGGTGGGATTCAGTATACGCACCCTTGCAATGTGGATGTGTCCACCCCAGAAGGTGAGGAAAGATCCTAAAGTGAATCAAAAAGAAAAGGGAGAGAAAAAGATCAGAGGGCAGGCAGCTGAATAGGGAAAAACATTATAGATTCCAAGGCCAGAAGGGACCATCATGATCATCTACTCTGACCTGTAATTGCACAAGGCTCCAAATGATCCCTAGAGCAAAGCCTTGAGCAGCCAGAGACTGCATGGTGGCTGAGCAGTGCAGCAGGAGAGGAACTGGCTAGTTGAGATGAGTCCAGTTAAATGCCCAGTGGGAAATGGAGACAAGTAAGCATGTCAAGGGGAAAATAAATGAAGCAAATGAGGAGAGGCAAGGAGATGAAAAGCAGGCGGGAGACTGCAAACTGAAAGTGAAAAGAAGCAATACAAGCAAGACACAAAGGTCAGATAAATGGGAGAAAAACATGCTCTCTGGGCAGCTCAACTTCCAGCCCAGAGCATGGCCTCAGGAAAGCAAAAGAAATAAGTTGACTCTAATTGTACTCTCTCGCTCTCCCTTGCAGTTTATCATTACTTTGTGGATATTATTACCTGGAACAAAGATATTAGAAGAGGCTTCCTCATAATTAAACTCACAGATCAAGCTGGAAACACTGCCCAGTCCACAGTCAATCAGTAAGTCCTACTGGATTCAAGATCCAAAATTCTTGCCAAGCCGTTTAGGCCAATCAATGTCTGGTTCTGGCCAAAGGCAAGCACACAAGCATTGTAGGTTGCTTGCATTTCAAGAGATAAATCCCGTGTAGGCCTGCCAGTGGGGTGGGGGGGGGGGGGAGAACAAAGGGGGCAACTGTTTGTTCAAGAACCCCTCCTAAATGGTAAAAGCTCAGACCACCAAACTGGTATGAAGCTTCCTCATTATCATAACTTAAACCAAAGAAGGGTTGGTTTGTGTCAGGAAAATGGGATGTGCTGGGAATGGGATTGCTTCTCACAGAACCATACAGAAAAGTGACAATCACCAGGCAAGTGAAAGGGGCTGGCTGAGGGGCATGCCCCCTACCCATCCAGGACTGTCCCAGCCCTGCGCTTCCCACCCCTAGGAGCTCTTTAGGGAGAGCAGGGGGCTGTAGCTTCCCCCCCCCTCCCCCCACACACACAAGGAGACTCATAACCACCATATTGAAGAGAGGGAATCACCAGGCAGGTGAAAGGGGCTGGCTGGGGTCACCGCACCATCTGAGACTACCCAGCCCCAAGCCTCTCACCCCTCCTGGCGCCCTTTAGGAAGGGGGGGCTGAAGCCTCCCCATTCATACTGGAACATTGCTGGCTGCTCCCCTTTGTCAAGGAAAGAGGAGGAAGTGCAGAGTTTGCTGCATTCCTCACTCTCTCTGGGGAGCAGACAAATCTGGACCCGCCCCAGCGGTCCCATGAATCTCTCAGTAGATCTGGATCGATATGTGAAGTATGGTTCCATGTGTATATTTATTACTGATACACTGAAAGGTCTAAACAGGTTCCTGTGAAGCCTCAGTATAAAATGGATCATGTTGCCAAAAGTCATTAGGTCACATCCATCCCTTAACGAAACGCTATTGACTTTGCTCATTTGCCATGATATGCTTTATTACTTTCCATTGGCTTGTGTCAGCTCATCCCTATACTATGGAGGCATGTGCTGCAACTACCTAGAAACAGATACAAGAAACCAAATGAAGGTTCTTGAACATGCCATGCTCAGAATGTTCTGATTAGCAGATCTAAGTCAGAAATACAACCCTTTTAACACAAATGTTGTATTTAACATGTGTTATACAACATACATGGCTTCTGGTCAATACATGTTTAAACCATGATTGGATTTAATCTATGACTTTGAGTTCAGGTTCAAGGCAGAGTCAGAGTTCAGATTGTACCTTGGGGTCCGATTCAATGGCACTAACACCTTGGCTGTGTCTACACTGGCATGAATTTCCGGAAATGCTTAAAACAGAATAGTTTTCGTTATAAGTATTTCTGGAAAAAGAGTGTCTACATTGGCAGGCTGCTTTTCCAGAAAAGCCCTTTTTCCGGAAAAGCATCTGTGGCCAATGTAGATGCGCTTTTCCGGAAAAGAGCCCCGATTGTCATTTTCGCGATCGGGGCTTTTTTCCGGAAAAGACTACTGGGCTATCTACACTGGCCCTTTTCTGGAACAGTGTTCCGGAATAAGGACTTATGCCCGAGCGGGAGCAGCGTAGCTTTTCCGGAATAGCGGCTGATTTTGTACAGTAGAGCATCGTTGCTTTTCCGGAAATTCAAGAGCCAGTGTAGACAGCTCGCAGCTTATTCTGGAAAAGCGGCTGATTTTCCGGAATAAGTGGCCCAGTGTAGACACAGCCCTTGTGAGCTGTTTTAACTAGATTTCAGTCCAAGGTGTCAGAAATCAAGTCCTTCCCAATATTTTCACACTCTTGAATGATGAAAATCGCACCCTTCTCATGAAATTTTTCCCATCTCTGAACAAGACCAGGAAAGAAGGCACCTCAGGGGTTTGATGGCAACTGGGTACCAAAAGCGTGAGAACAGGTTTGGATCTGGGGATCAAAGCTGTTTTAACTAGATTTCAGTCCAAGGTGTCAGAAATCAAGTCCTTCCCAATATTTTCACACTCTTGAATGATGAAAATCGCACCCTTCTCATGAAATTTTTCCCATCTCTGAACAAGACCAGGAAAGAAGGCACCTCAGGGGTTTGATGGCAACTGGGTACCAAAAGCGTGAGAACAGGTTTGGATCTGGGGATCAAA